GTTCAGTAAGTTTATTTACCACCCTGGCTATCTGCTCGGGCTTGGCCAATCGTGATTAGTGTTACATATATTGACATGCATTCGACAGAGTACAGAACTCTATTATTACAGTAATCATACAAGGTAAAATGAGAATATAAGTCATCATGCAAATGTATATATCTAAGTTGATCTACCTTTGCCTTTGTGTTTACATAACAATGTTCTGTGATGTGTTCTATGATTACGATAGTTTTACATAGTAAATTTAGGATATAGCATGAGTATATCTTCCAATGTATCAGATGCAATAAAATAATCACATAATCTTTATACCTCATGTTATGTGGTCTGAAAGGCAGGAGAAAAGGTGCCCGTTTAGTCTGGCAAATGCCCCTAGAATTCTAGGCGTGGCACCATGTCTTTTGTAAGGTGCCCTTCTGATATTATATACATTTATAATCATATAAATAAATAAATATATATATATATATAAATATATATATATACATATATGTATATACATATATATACATATATATATATATATATATATATATATATATATTATATATATATATATATATAATATATACACGCACACACACACACACACACACACACACACACACACACACACACACACGTATATATATATATATATATATATATATATATATATATATATTATAACACGGTGAAAATGAAGAAAACGGGTTCTGAGTGACGGCGGCCATTCCAGCCGCCCGACCACTCCTTTGTCCTTTTCTAAGAAATGATTCGATGGATTTAGACTTCGAATCGGTCATGGATCTTCAGTGTCACCATCATCACCACTACCATCAGCACCATTATCATCACCGTCACCTCAGTTTGATCACCATCGCTACTACCATTACCAACACTATCACTCACGATCAAGTCACCATCATCGCCGTCATCATAATCACAATCACCGTCTTCACCATCACTATCCTCATCACTACCATCACCACCATCACAATCACATCATCAAAATCACCATCACCATCACAATCATCATCATCAAAATCACATCACCATCACAATCATCATTCATCAAAATCACCCCATCACCACCATCACAATCACATCATCAAAATCATCATCACAATCACTTCACAATCACATCACCATCACAATCACCTTCATCATCACAATCACCTTCATCATCATCACCTTCATCACCATCACAATTTCATCACCATCACAATCACCATCACCTTCATCACAATCACCTTCATCATCACAATCACAATCACCTTCATCACAATCACCCATCATCACAATCACCCATCAATCACATCACTTCATCACAATCACAATCACCTTCATCACATCACAATCACCTTCATCACCATCACAATCCCCTTCATCACCACCATCACAATCACCCATCATATCAAATCACCTTCATCACCATCACAAATCACCACCATCACAATCACCTTCATCATCAATCATCCATCATCACAATCACAATCACCTTCATCACCATCACAATCACACACCATTCATCACCATCACCATCACCTTCATCACATCACCAACACAATCACCTTCACAATCACATCCCTTCATCACCATCACCATCATCAACACCTTCATCACCATCACCTCACATCATCACCATCACAATCACCTTCATCACCATCACAATCACCTTCATCACCATCACAATCACCATCATCATCCTTCATCATCACAATCACCATTCATCACCATCACATCACCATCATCATCACAATCACCTTCAATCCCTTCATCACATCCAAATCACCTTCATACCACACATCACCTTCATCACCATCACAATCACCCTATGCACCATCACCATCACAATCCAATCACTTCATGGCACAATGCACATCATGCATCACCACAATCACCATCATCACACAATCAGCATCATCATCACAATCATCAATCACCTTCATCACCATCATCACAATCACCATTATCACCACAATCCCGCAAAATCAAATCGGTTTTATTGCATTATTCCTTCTTTCCTTCCCGCTTATCATTTTTTTATCTCTTTATATTGTATCAAATTCCCTTTTATCTCAAAATGACACTTTTATGATATTTTGTATTTTCTTATCGAGCACTCAACTTTTTTTTTTTTTTTTCTTTTTTTTATGCCGATACTTATGCGTGAAAATTCCTGTGGATGTGTGTGTATATGTATGTATGTGCGTGTGTGTGTACTATATATATATATATATATATATATATATATATATATATATATGAATTTGTATATTCATACACACGCACACACAACACAAACACACACACACACACACACACACACACACACACACACACACACACACACATATATATATATATATATATATATATATATATATATATATATATATAATATATATTACATATATAACACACATGATATATATATTACACTTATATAACATACATGATATATATATCATATACATTATATCTTATCTCTACATAAACATATACATCCACACAGACCCACACCCACACTAAGACACAGACACTAAGACACCCACCGCTCTCCCGCCCCCCCTTTGCAAACAACGAAATTTACCTCTGCAGTCACGGCTCACGCATCCGGCACCCGACCACAAACCAAACCCTGCTGTCATTTAACGATTCTTGAAGCGAAAATGTTTATAAACACGGCCGGTTCACCAAAAAACGGATGGCCATTAAATAGAGATGATGCTGGTAAGGACTCATCTTTTTTTTATGGAGTTTCAAGAATATGAAGGTATTTATGCGAATAATAGATATGATGGTCGGTTTTGTTTATTTATTAATCAAAATCAATCAATAAATAAAAGACAATAACAATTCAGTGATATTAAAGAATTGTGATGATAATGATTTTGATTATAATAATGACAAGAATAAGAACAAGAACACGAACAATAATAAGAATGATAAAAATGATAATAAATGTTACCATGATCATAATCATTAGGGTAAATAATAATAACATTAACAAAGATATTCATCATCATAATAATACAAATAATAAGAACAACTTCATCATTATTTTCATCATAACAAAAAGAGCCGATGATGATGTTCATAACAACAGTGGTAGGCTAAGAGTAATGATAATGATAACAAGAATGATAACAATAACAAACTAACAACAAAACCAACAGTGATAAAAAACAACAAAATCAGTAGCAACAAAAACAGAAAACAATGACAAAAACAGACAAACAATAACAAAATCAATAACAAAACCAGACAAACAGCAATAACAAAAACAGACGAACAACAACAACAAAAGCAGACGAACAACAAAACAATGCCAACAAGCTGACAAGATGAACACATGCTAAGAAGTGAAAGTTAACGGACAGTCCACCCTGACACACTGAAGAAAATTTTCTACAAAAAGTCTGCTTTTGTTTTTGTTATATATATATTCATATACTGTTTTACTTTCTTTTGTTTTACTTTTTCTTTTAAATTTGTTTTACTATTGATTTGCTTTCTTTTTATCCTGGGTTACTGTTCACCTTTATTTTTTATCCTAGGGCAATAGTAATTGTAATAATAGCAGGAGTGATGCGTCATGTGTAAATTCCACGGAGCAAAATGAAATTAAATAAAGTAAATTTGAAAAAAAAAAAAAAAAAAAAAAAAAAAAAAAAAAAAAAAAAAAAAAAATATATATATATATATATATATATATATATATATATATATATATATATATATATATATATATATATATATATATATATATATATATATATTGATAAAAAAGGGTACCTTCCTCCTCCTGCAATTCGTTTGGTTTCTCCTTTTTCCCTTCCCTCTCCCTTACCTCAATTTTCAGTTTCCTTCTCCTTTTCACTCTTTCTTTCCGTTTCCCTCATCCTCTCTCTTTGCCTTTCCGTCTCCCTCTCATTATCCTTCTCCTCCCTTTCCCTCTTCCTCTCTACCCTTCCTTCTCCTTTTCCCTCCCCCTCCTTCTCCCTTTACCTCCCCCTCCCACTCCCCTTCTCTCTCCCTACCTCTCCTCTTCCCTCTTCCCTCTCCCTCTCTCTCCCCTTTTCTCCTTCCTCTCCCCTTCTCTCTTCCCCCCCTCCCTCTCCCTCCCCCTCTGTGTCCCTCTCTTTCCCTCTCCCTCCCTCTCTCTCCCTTCCTCTCCCTCTCCCTCTGTATCCCTCTCTTTCCCCTCCCTCTCCCTCTCCCATTCACAAAAGCACAGCGT